GTTGATTCCTGTTTTCAGTGCGTGTAAATTGAGGCAAAAGTTATGCTTATTAACACATTTTTAAATTTGCTAAATTTCCATCCATTATTTTCTATAGTTTAAAGGCAAATAAAACTCACGTTAGACCTTGAGATTGGATCCTCCCTTTCTCCATCATCAAATCATGGAAATTGAAAATGTTGCCGATTTTGGTCATTGCAGCCTTGCTATTGCTGTGAATAAACTGAGCCCATTTGATTCCAATTCAATGAATTATTTTTAATTAGCACCATAATGTCTAAAGAAAGGCTAAGGACTTCAATGCTACTTGCAATTAGTTCAGCAATCAATTTGTCCATCTACATCATTGACAGAACTCGGAGAATCTTTGATTGATTCACATCATTTGGTGTCAGTAGCGTCTGTTGCAGCACCGTAGATTTGCCTTCACGTTCTCTCTACTTATGCATCTTTTGACAGCCAGTCTCTCTTGATTACACTTCAGGTCTAACCAACTTGGTCCAGGTATACACCACCGGACCTATTTTCACTGACGATGCAACACTAACTGAGGCTCGTCGTCGTCTTTTCTCCTCTCGCTGTCGTCTTGCCCATCTCCTCGCTTGTAGAGCTCGTTTCGCCTGCCTGTTCCACCTTCTTTCTCCTGACTCATCTTCCCATTCTAGTTCTCTTCAGCATCGTCTCTCGGAGGCCGGCTTCTCCACAGACTCTCCCTCTAACTTCTGCCGACAAGTTCATGTTACTGCACCACCTACTCCCCCGTCTGTGCTTCTTGAATGGCCTCCTGTCAGTTCTGAAGTCATCAATCTTGAAAACATCCCAGCTTCAGATCTGGAAGTGATTAATCCCCTTCTAGCCAGTGACATGTCGAGATTTAGCTGGATGGCGCATGCAGACAGTTTGTTTGGTGCTTCGGGCTCTATTGGTGGAGCTTCTTCTTCCTTGGCAGATGAGCTTGAGATGGAAGAGGAGGAAGAGATGGAAGAATCAAAACCAGTAGTGGTAGATGCGGTCGAATTCCCGAAACCACCTTCAGCAGTACCTAATGGCAGTGCGTTAAGGACTGAAAGCGGAACAAAGAAATCTCCTGTTAAATCAACGGTAGATTTTGATCTGTTTCCATTTTTGGATCCCTTGGTACACGGTTGCTTGGATTTGTTTCGTATCGTTCTCCCCTCAGATTGAGCGTTTCCCCGTAAGATCAGCTGGCATTGCACCACGTAGAAATCCCGCAGCGCCCTCCTCTACGGCGACGTCGAAATCAACCTCCACATTTGCGGCTTCAAAGAATGCAACAGCCACAAAGCCTCACACCTCAGCCAAAATTCGCTCACCTCCTAAATCTACGACTCATCCTACTCGACCGCCACCACTAGCAACTGCAACGAAGGCATCAATCGCTAGGCAACCCGTTGCTAGTGCTACTCGACAGCTGGACCGCAAGTCCCCTTCTTCCAAAACGACAAAAGCAGCACCTAAAGCTGCCACTTCCAGCCTAAAGCCGAAATCGTCGTTGATTTCTTCGTCAAAGTCTCCACACAAACCACCATCAACAGCCACTGTAAGCAGCTGATAGCTGCCTATCATCTAACCGTTAGTGGGAGAAGTCACCGTTTGGTTTTGCTATTTCAGGTTTCTGCATTTTCACCTGCGTTGAATCGTACTTATGCATTTATGGACGATGATGATGCTGATGCTGACGATGATGTCGAAGGTGAGGAGACCAAAT